TTGTCATTAAAAACACAGAAAAACTCTTACCTTAAGATTCATATTAAACAACACGCTGAAATTCATAATTTTAATCGAATCCCTGCAATACATCTTTTATTGGTAAACAGACTCAACCTGAACTTGAAGCACTTCGTCGGTCTCACATCCAAGCCCGTAAAGACGGTGTTGCTGAGAATGTTGCTACAGTATTGTTACGCTACGAGGGACCTGGAACAGACGATGAGATCCTGAAAGCACTGGACAACAAATATGATGCTCTGAAAGACAAACTGTTGCTTGAAGCTCTGAAGAAACAACTTGGTATGCTTATAAAATGGCGCTGTTTACGACTGTGTATTTTTTCAGGATTCTGTCTCAAAATAGCGAACTAAGTTGTTGTATAATTGCAACGTGCATCAAAGGCTGCTTTGCAAAGTCTATTGACTTACTTGCATTCAAAATTGTTGATATAAAATGGGGTTAAAAGACGTATAAAAGCAAATGGTTTGCTGCGCGTAGTGTTGCAATAAGTAGAACTCAGAGGGCGGCTATAATGAGGATGGATAAATAGAATTTTATCAGCGAGAGAGGGATTTATCTGGTGGATAACGCTATTCACCCTGCCTACAACCGACCTCAGATCTACTTATTGCAACACATTGTAGAAAAATTGCAACGCCTTGACGCAGTCTACCACCCCTTAGGCAAATTTCGCGGTAATGTTCTCTATGAGTGCATAGGCTGACTATTAGTTATTATTAAGACGCTATGACGCATGCGTACCATATTTCAGGTGACGCCGAATGGGCTGCTCTATCTGAGAGAGAACGTCAACAAAGGTTAATGAAGCTCAAACTTGAAGAACGTAGACTTCGGAAAGAAGGCAAGATGGACGAGCTTGCTCGTTTGATGAGTGAAGGTCTCGCCATGGACGCTAACTTAAGGAAACTACTTGGAGACAATAAAGCAAGGTGTGTAGACTTGTAAGCTTGGCCAGAACAGATTTAACGTAATTTATCTAAGAATGCGACTCCAACTGTGAAATGGTAAGCGGAATTTGGTGTTTTTTTCTATCAATGAAAACTACGAACCTTACCGAACTGCTCTCTTGATTCCTCCCTTCAAAAACCGAACGTACACCGAACACCCTCCGAACATTCAACGGAAAGCTTATTTGTGAATGTACGTAATTCGTTCGGCGTTCGGCCGCTGAAGTACGCATATTTGCGTAAATTACGGCTTCTAAACGTTGATTTTCATAAAGACATCCCAAGACATCAAACCTCCTCGGCACGCGACATTCCGCTTCTGTCGCGATTCACTTTTCGTTTGGGCTTCCTGTGTCCAGACAAAAACTCGGTGCTCTGCGGAGGAAGTTTTGGCAATTAATGAAAATCATTTTTTCAGATACGAAGAAAAACTTAAGGAGCGGATGGCACGTCGCCGTGAGCGTCTTGCTCAAGGGCTTCCACCAGAGGATAGCGACGAAGAAGACGAGGGCGAAAATGCTACAAATGTGATTGATGTTCTCAATGCTCTCGATAAAAGGTAAAATATTCTTGTTTGTTTGTTCCTAACACCTGTCTAGTGTCTTTGTTACTTTTTGCTGGTTTGAAGCCTGATTTGCACGTCTACGATAGTATACGTATATGAGTGCATAAACCGATTTGATGAATTCAATCATGAATATCCAGGTACGACGACGAGAAGGACGCCTTAATGGCCAAACTACGAGGTGACAATGAACGTTTCCTTAGTGAACGTCAACGCCAAGCCGAGTTAGCTCGCTTGCGTCGAGAGAAACTCAAAGCCAATCAAGAAGATAGGTTTGATTCGGCTGCGCTAGTCCTGGGTCTAGCAGAAAGAAACCAAGCAGCTGCAGCAGAAAGGTGCGCATTGATTGGCTACTTATAAAGTGTGTTTTGATTGGTTGATTTGTACATCTGTAATTCCTTTTTACTATATTAAGGTTAAACCAAGACAGGCTTCGACAGGAGCAGTTAGCCCGCGAACGTCTTGCTCAGCGGCGTAAGCGTCAAAATGAGGAAAAGCCAATAGAAGACAAACTTGTAACAGATGGTGACGTCACGGCTATGCAAGAAAATCTTCTCAAAATACTTGAAAATAAGTACAAGCACGAAAGAGAGGTAGATACTATAATATGAAAGGCTCCTATTTTCCATAGGTTCTTAAAGATTAATATCTTTTCCATAGGTTCTTACTGATACGTATATTTTCCATAGGTTCTTACGGATACGTATCTTTTTCATAGGTTCTTACGGACACGTATATTTTCCATAGGNTGGTAAACAGACTCAACCTGAACTTGAAGCACTTCGTCGGTCTCACATCCAAGCCCGTAAAGACGGTGTTGCTGAGAATGTTGCTACAGTATTGTTACGCTACGAGGGACCTGGAACAGACGATGAGATCCTGAAAGCACTGGGCAACAAATATGATGCTCTGAAAGACAAACTGTTGCTTGAAGCTCTGAAGAAACAACTTGGTATGTTTATAAAATGGCGCTGTTGACGACTGTGTATTTTTTCAGGATTCTGTCTCGAAATAGCGAACTAAGTTGTTGTATAATAGCAAACGTGCATCAAAGGCTGCTGCGCAAAGTCTATTGACTTACCTGCATTCAAAATTGTTGATATAAAATGGGGTTAAGGGTGTACTGACGTATCCGTTTCTAGACGACCTGGTTGCTATGCTACCCGATGCTAGCCAATCGGAGAAGCGGGCGCGCGCGCGTTTTCATGGCGGGAAAATTTTTACTTCCGGTGTAAAGGTTTTTGTTTACATAAAATGTATGGTATCATTTAAAAAATATAATCTTCGGAGCGAAACATCAAATGGACGTGTTTTTTCAATATTTATGTTCTTCACAGCCTCCTCTTCAGAACCAAGCATGGGTTTGGCGAAAACATAAAAAATACGAAAGTTATTGGCATTTTCGCTTATTTGTGGCATTTAAAAAATCGTAAAAAGCTTATTTGGCAATCATTCTAAAAACGCATGCTTGTCTTTACGGACTTAAATCGTTTAATATACTTTGCTTGATGAATTTATAGCATTTTTTCGTATAAATGACTTCACGTGATGACGTCATACAATGACGTCATAGAATGTGTTATTTTTGTTTGGGAAGGCTTAATACTCAATACGAAAGCGATTTTACTTTTGTTTGTCATTTTAGAGAACTACTGAATTCCCCTAGCAACGGACATGTCAGTACACCCTTAAAAGACGTATAAAAGCAAATGGTTTGCTGCGCGTAGTGTTGCAATAAGTTGAACTCAGAGGGCGGCTATACTGAGGATGGATAAATAGAATTTTATCAGCGAGAGAAGGATTTATCCGGTGGATAGCGATATTTGCCCTGCGTACAACCGACCTCAGATCTACTTATTGCATCACATTATAGAAAAATTGCAACCCCTTGACACAGTCTACCACCCCTTAGGCAAATTTCGCGGTAATGTTCTCTATGAGTTCATAGGCTGACTCTTAGTTATTATTACGACGCCATGACCCATGCGTACCATATTTCAGGTGACGCTGAATGGGCCGCTCTATCTGAGAGAGAACGTCAACAAAGGTTAATGAAGCTCAAACTTGAAGAACGTAGACTTCGGAAAGAAGGCAAGATGGACGAGCTTGCTCGTTTGATGGGTGAAGGCCTCGCCATGGACGCTAACTTAAGGAAACTACTTGGAGACAATAAAGCAAGGTGTGTAGACTTGTAAGCTTGCCCAGAACAGATTTAACGTAATTTATCTAAGAATGCGACTCCAACGGTGAAATGGTAAGCGGAATTTGGTGTTTTTGTTTCTATCAATGGAAACTGCGAACCAACAGAACTGCTCCCTTGATTCCTCCTTCGGAAACCGAACGTACACCGAACACCCTCCGAACATTCAACGAAAGCCTTATTTGTGAATGTTCGTAATTCGTTCGGCGTTCGACAGCTGATTTCCGCATATTTGCGTAAATTACTCTCTTATACGATATTTTCATAAAGACATCCAAAGACATCAAACCTCCTCGGCACGCGACATTCCGCTTCTGTCGCGATTCACTTTTCGTTTGGGTTTCCTGTGTCCAGACAAAAACTCGGTGCTCTGCGGAGGAAGTTTTGGCAATTAATGAAAATCATTTTTTCAGATACGAAGAAAAACTTAAGGAGCGGATGGCACGTCGGCGTGAGCGTCTTGCTCAAGGGCTTCCCCCAGAGGATAGCGACGAAGAAGACGAGGGCGAAAATGCTACAAATGTGATTGATGTTCTCAATGCTCTCGATAAAAGGTAAAATATTCTTGTTTGTTTCTTCCCGATGCTTTAACACCTGTCTAGTATCTTTTGTTACGTTTTGCTGGTTTGAAGCCTGGTTTGCACGTCTACGATAGTATATGAGTGCATAAACCGATTTGATGAATTCAATCATGAATATCCAGGTACGACGACGAGAAGGACGCCTTAATGGCCAAACTACGAGGTGACAATGAACGTTTCCTTAGTGAACGTCAACGCCAAGCCGAGTTAGCTCGCTTGCGTCGAGAGAAACTCAAAGCCAATCAAGAAGATAGGTTTGATTCGGCTGCGCTAGTCCTGGGTCTAGCAGAAAGAAACCAAGCAGCTGCAGCAGAAAGGTGCGCATTGATTGGCTACTTATAAAGTGTGTTTTGATTGGTTGATTTGTACATCTGTAATTCCTTTTTACTATATTAAGGTTAAACCAAGACAGGCTTCGACAGGAGCAGTTAGCCCGCGAACGTCTTGCTCAGCGGCGTAAGCGTCAAAATGAGGAAAAGCCAATAGAAGACAAACTTGTAACAGATGGTGACGTCACGGCTATGCAAGAAAATCTTCTCAAAATACTTGAAAATAAGTACAAGCACGAAAGAGAGGTAGATACTATAATATGAAAGGCTCCTATTTTCCATAGGTTCTTAAAGATTAATATCTTTTCCATAGGTTCTTACTGATACGTATATTTTCCATAGGTTCTTACGGATACGTATCTTTTTCATAGGTTCTTACGGACACGTATATTTTCCATAGGTTCTTACGGA